AGCAGTGAGGCCTGGTGTCAATGCTGCCCGGGCCGTGGCCAAGGGAGGAGCACCTACTCTAATATTAATGCAGACGGCAAGTAAAAATAAGGATCTTTCCTATGGAGTTTACTTTGAATTTAAACAGTCTTTATGTTGCCCCCACTTTTCTATCTATTTTTATGATTCCAGCTTTTGTCAGTTGACACTGAAGTTGTATCCAACAGTGTTTCGATAATCCTAAACCCTAATTGTGTATCTGTGTGTCATCTGACACCTGCTTGTCTGTGGGCAGAGTGGGGAGATTGCCGGTTCAGGAATCGGGAGCCTTTGAGTATAACATTGGGTTTAACCTCCCTGGGCCTCAGTCTTCCCCTCTGTAAAATGGAACCATCTCTGTGGTTCTTGCCCATGTGCTTCTCTGTGAGTCAGGGCCAGAGGTCTGTCAGGTGTCCCTCGTGTTTAACCAGGCCAGTGGCTGTGACCCCACGAGTGACCTTACATGAGACTGGGGGCTTCCCAGCCTGCCATCCTGTCCTCTTACCTCATGAAGGCACCCAGAGATCTTGAGGAGCAGCTCCCCAAGTTGGGAGGGGCATAACTGGGGTTGACTCTGCTGTGGGGGTAAGATGAGAACCTGAGAAGGGCTTAGATGGGGTGGGAGGCGGGGGGAGCAGGAAACAGCTACATCGTAAATAGCACACCATCTGGGCCAGGGTGACTTTTGCTGGGCTGTGTTCCACATGCAGTCAGGTGTGTCCGCCTCCTGCTCTGCCACCCCTTGATCCCTTCTGACCCTTTGCCCCTGATGAAAACCTCACCTTCCTGACCCATGCCTGATGCCGGGGGAGAGCTGTGGCAAAGGGCAGTACAGGGTGGGTACAGAGGGAGTGTCCTCCCGGGGCATCTGACAAGGAGGCTTCCTGGAGAAAGGACAGCCCGATGACTCAGTGAGATGCTGCCGTGCTGGGATTGCAGCTGCACCTGCCTTTCGAAGCAGAGTCCCTCGGCGTATGGACTGGTAGTCCCCAACCTTTGAGCCGTGTTCAACAGCGGAGACTTCAGTGGACTCCCAAAACGTGCTCAGCAGCAAATGCTCTAAATCACAGGTTGGCAAACTTTTTCTGTAAAGTCCACCTATGAAATGTTTTAGGCTTGTGGGCCGGAGGGTCTCTGTAGCAAGTATGCAACTCTGCCATCATTGTGTGAAAGCAGCTGTGGACAGTACGTAAATGAATGGGTGTGGCTGTGTGCCCATAAAGCTTTATGTATAAAAACAGGTGGTGTTTTTTATACACCCAAAAAAATTGAATGCAGGGGCTTGAACAGATATTTGTACACCAACGTTCATAGCAGAATTATTCACAATAGCCAAAAGTAACCTGTGTCCATTCATAGATGAGTGGATAAACAAAATGTGGTGTATATTACAAACAAGGGAATATTATTCAGCCTTGAAAAGGAAGGAAATTCTGACACATGGTATAATATGGATGAACCTGGAGGACATCATGTTAAGTGAAATAAGCCAGTCACAAAAGGGCAAATATCCTATGGTATCTAGAGTCATCAAATTCACAGGGACAAAAAGTAGAATGATGGTGGCCAGGGGCTGGAAGGAGGCGGGAATGGGGAGTTAGTGTTTAGTGGGGACGGAGTTTCAGTTTAAGAAGATGAAAAAGGTTCTGGAGGGGGATGGTGGTGATGGCTGCACAACATTGTGAATGTACTCAATGCCACTGAAGTACATTTAGAAATTGTTGAAATGGTAAATCTTATGTGTACTTCACCACGGTTAAAAAAAATTGAAGTAAAAAAACAGGAGGTGAATCCGATTTGGCCTGTAATTTGCCAACCCCCGCTCTGGATGAATTAGTATTTTATTAACCACAGCATATACACAGGTTTTGGGAGGACAGCCCTCACTTGGGGGGCATCCTATTCATGCAGTCTGTGCACAGTGCCTGAGCCCTAGGGAGGAAGGGCCTCTCGCAGTGACTGTGGCCCCCGGTGCCTTGGAAGAGGGTCTAGATCCCCTCCCAGGGATCTGAGCCCTTCCTCCCTCCCTCATTCCTTTTCTTACCCTTGTGGTAATTCCAGTGTCAGGCAACCCTTTCTGTCCCATGCCCTGAATCAGACTGTCTGGCCTAGAGTTTGCCTGACTCGCAAATCTTTGGTCACGAGGAAGGAATGTGGCTGCTCCCCGTCCCCTCAGCCCCCTCCATAAGGACCCCGAGGGTGGAGGGAGATGTACAGAATCTCAGAAGGACCTTTGAGGTCACTTTCAGATTTGTGAACAATCAATGACCTGACTCCCTCACCCTTTTTTTCCTGAATCAGATTCCGGCTTCTTCTGCAGCTGGCTTTGTAGGGACAGGAGGGCAGCCATGGCTGGTGTCCCCTTCTCCCTTGCACTGAGAGTAGCCCTCCCCAGACCCTCAGTCCTCATGCTCAGTTGGACATGTTTCCAAAAAAGGTGGCACTGGCCACTGCTGCCCCTGGGGACGGCTTGCCTGGTCAGCACTGTAGGGGCCATCTGTTCTTTCCTTGGATTGCTCAAGGAGAACAACTCCCATTAGCTTAGGCCCTTTGAGCCATTGCTAACGATGGTTATAGTGACCCAGAGGTAGGGGGTTAGATGGCCTTTGGACTGGCCTTTCAAGAGAGGGTTGGCTGCCTCTAGCCTGGATTGGCTGCCCTAAGGCCAGGTGCTGCCCTGAATGGCTCCCAGAGCCACCCTGACATGGGCCTGCTTAGGGTCAGCAGCTCTGCAATTGTCCATCCCCTTGCCAGCATATTTGATTCAACTCTTGGTTTTTCCACATCCCTGAATGGGAATTGACTTGAATGCCCAGAATTAACAGACCAAAAGTTGTGAAACATCTCCCCTGGATGGTGGCAGCTTATAAGCAAACACACTGATTAAACACGGCTGTAAGTGAAGACTCCATGATTCCCTCTGTTGCTAAATGACAGCCCTGGCCTGCTTCAGGAGGAACCTTTTGACATATGTAGCAAGTAACTTTGTTGAGGAAGTGAACAAGGTGACTTATCTGTAGGAGGAGAAATAAAAGTGCTTTTGTGCAAAATAGGATAGAAATAATGAGGTTTATGATGGTAGAAGATGAACTGAGAGTCGTAATTGCAGAAAACCATTTATCGGGCGCTTACTACCTGCCAGGTGCTCTGTTAGCTCTTTATACACACACACACACACACACACACACACACACACACACACACACACACACACATATATATAATTTAACTCTTGAAGCAACCCTTCAAGGTAACAGCTATTATTTTTATAAGGAAGCTAAGACTCAGAGAGGGTCTTAAGCCCAGATTACCTCACAGGAAGGGGTCGAGTTAGGGTGCAGACTCAGATTTGGCCAAAATCTATAGCATCCTGCACCTGGAGAGGGGCATGGAGGAACCGAGGAGAGGAGCCAGGGAATCCCAGCTCCCAATCCCATCAGCGTGTGTAGAGCATCCACTAGGCTCTAGGCACTAAATCAGGCAGGATACAGATGATACCTCTTTAATCCTCATGACTGTCAAGTATTCCATGTTCTCTGGTTGTAAGCAGCAGAAGCACACTGGAGAAAGCTTAAGTGAAAAAGGAGGTTCTTTATTTCAAGGACAGAGAGGTGTCTCCTGAAACCCAAGAACAGGAGGCAGCCAGACTGCCAGGACTGCTGGACATGAGGGCTGAAGGTGGTACATACCTAAAGAGGCTGAAGTCATAAATACCTGCTTTATCTTCCTGTGGAAAGATGTGGAAATAGCCACTGAGAGCATCCACGTCCCTCCTGGTCTCTGCCAGAGCTGGTTGTCACAACTGGGCTCAGGTCATAGCAGGCCAAATGGCTGTGAGTGAGGTGGAGGCAGCCAAAGGTTGTGTGAATTGGGTAGACTTTAGTCCTACTTAAACAACTCCCAGGGGTGAGTGGTTTTATCCCCATTTTACACATAAGGAATCAAGATTTGTGGGAGGTGAATGTCCTTGCCCCAGAGCACACGGCCAGTGGTGGTGGTGAAGGGAGTGGGCAGAGTTTGAACCAGGTTTATCTGACTGAGAACCCGTGCTTGTAATCACCAAATATAACTGCTCTAGAAGACAATTTGTCTTAAAGTCGCCCTTTAATCAGATGCAGGAAAAGAAACTAGGATGGTTTAGCCTTAGAAGGGTGACGTGAGAGTCTATATAACATTGTGTCCATCTTCATTTATAAAGCTCGTCTTTCAAGGATAGTCACCAACCAGGTATTTTCAACAACCAGAAAGTTAGAACAAGAATCAGGTCTTCTGAGAACAATGACCCAATGCTCACAGGTCATCAGACATGAGGACAAGTCAGTGCTACAGGGAGGGCCAGCCTGGCCTGAAGGCCACATCGTTTCTCTAGGCTCCATCCAGCCTCAAGCTGAAATCTGTCCTGACAAACTGCCTCTGGCAGAAAATTGGGACGCCCTGGGGGTTTGGATGTTCTCATCTGACCTTTTACAATCCCCAAGCAGATGGATCCTTGTGTTTTCTTTGGCTCTCTTGTTGCGCTTGAGAACGAATGTTCATTCTTAGATATTTCAGTTTACCCGTCGGGGGAGAGGATGGAGTTTGTTTATAAATGAATATTTTGTGGTAGACCTGACTTGACACCAACTTAGCTACTTCAGGGATGCTTGACCCTAAATGAACACTAATTCATGTCTAAAAAACTTGGCCAAGATAGTACAAACTTTAAACGATAGGAACTTCCTGCAGGATTTGGTGGAGTGTGTGCTTCATTGGAAATACTACCTAGTGTTATTTACCCAAGAAGGAGTATCTAAATCCACCTTCACGTTCATAAACAGTGCATGTCTGCCAGAGCCACGAGTGGGAAGCATAATGGAGGGCGTGTGTCCTTGGGGAGCAGCGTGGACCTCTCAGAGAAAGGGAAGATTTTTGTGGGATGGAGGATTTTTGAAGCTGTTTATAAGACTGTATTAACTGATAATATCCTGTTTCTTGTTTTACAGATTGGAAACCTGGAAAATTACTACCATTTTTACCATAGCAAAACCTTTAAAAGGTCAACCGTGAGTAGCAGAGGCCCTCACACCTTCCTCAGAATGGACCCCCAGGTACAGGATACTTTCCTAAGGTGTTTTTGCTTTTTGTTTGGGTCTGTGATTCTGAAAATGCCTGAGTCTGGATTTTAATGTGATTCTAGATAGCCGTTAGTTTTCCGTTTTCACCTTGAATAAAACAAGTCAGATGTGTGGCTACATTTCAGACTATCTGAATGCTCCAAATGTTTGGGTCCCTTGTTAGAGCCGAGAATTTAAATTCTTAACTTGAGTTTGAAGCAACAATCAAATGACTATAGATCTGTTGGTATTTTGAATCTTTAAAAATCAACAAAATACACAGTAATTAGAGGAGATAAATATGTGACTCTTACCTATAAAGGCAAAAAGACTAGGCAATTCAAGCTAGCGTTTTAATAAAATTAAAGATTAGGCAGATGGATGTGTTTGTGGTTATCAAAACACATGTCTTAGTGGCTACTGTGAATTTAAAAACTTAGGCAGTAAGTATAACCTTTTTTCCTTAAAAATTCATGTGATCTTTGAGATTAAAACAAATGTAATTTGCAAAGAAGCTAACATATTAAGTTTTAATATATCTCATACTTATTGGGTGGTTATTATACTTCCTTTCTGCAAAAGTTTGAGACTAATATTTGACAAGCATCAGTTAACCGTTACTTGGTGAAATTAAAAACTTAAGATGGTCAGATGAGCCTCCGATGACTTCATTCACTCAAGAGATGATTTTGGAATACCTGCTGTGTGTCAAGCTCTGTCCACAGAAGGACCGTTGAAGTGGGTGGCGGGGCTGACAGAAAACGAGGGAGTAAATAGAAAAGTCTGTGATACATCACAAGGGGATGAAATGAAGTTCACATAAGAAGTAATAGCAGCCCCAACAAAGAAACGTGGCCCTTGATAAATCATACTTTTAGAACATGGACATCGCCTTCTCTTAAAGCAGTGTGCTAAATGTCAGTTTGGGCTCCCAAACTGGCACATGAAACTATTTCTGCTAATCCCAGAGAATATTTATAATAAAGTTTCCGTGGAGGAATGGGTTCTTGGTGTTGTCCCAAGGCACCCCAGTAACCATCATGGCTCCTATTGTATTGACTGAGCTGGGGCTGGGTCGGGGAGACGGTTTATCGCTGGGCACTGGACTTGAAACACCCGTCTCCGGGGCGTCACTTTGTGGAGGTCTGATGTCAAGCGTATTAGAAACTGGTCCCCATGGAACTCATTCATGTAATTAGGCTGTGACAAGGCAGACATGTCTTGTATATGTTTCTGAATTTAATTTATGAGTAGGTGGATGGATGGGTGGGTGGGTAGATAGAGGGAGATAAATAAAAAACATTATGCTAATCTCATTATTCCCTCTTAGGGAAAGGAATTTAATGTTTGTTAAGGGATTACTATGTGCTTGGGCACTTGAACATACTTCATACATACATCACCTGATCATATGGGGCTATGATTACACCTACCTTGTTCACACCATGGAACTTGAAGGAATGCTTTTCAAAGGGGCGGTTATATTTCTTTTCCTCTCAGAAGCCAAGCCAGAGCATCGTTGCCCATTCCCACTGATGCGGCAGTTGAAGAAGGGCAAGCAGACCCGATGCCTGAATCAGTGTAAACCTGAGTGGAAGGGGTGCTGTGTGCAGAGTGCACAGACTGATCACCAAAGAAACGTGGGTTCGGTGAGGCTGCACGTGGGGACTGAGGTCCACAGTGTCCATCACCTGTCAACATGTGAGGAAGTTTCTAAGCCAGGAAGGGAGTTGCCGCAGCGCCCCTCCACGATTTCACTTTAAGCATCATCTCTCTTGTGAAGACGACATGGTTGTTCTTCATCTGAAGGCTTCGGAATTATTAAATTGTTACCACACAGATAGTTACAATGAGGGGCAAGCTGTTTGCCTGGGGAGGGGGCCTGTCCCCCAACATAGGCATGCAATGAGATGATAATGGGACTGTGAATTTCCTGGTCCCCTTTCCACGGGGGCTTCTGAGAATTAAGCTGTCTTTTGGTAGTTAGAACTCAGGCAGAGTCAAAATAGGAGACTTGACCTGTGTTTGGTAGACAAGTTTATTTTGTAGACATCTTTATATCACATTTTTAGTGACTAAATTTTAAAACTTTTAAAGATATTCAACTCAACTCCTCTTCTCTGCCTTCCAAAAATATTAATTGTGCACCTGCTGGGTGTGAGGCCCTGTGCCCTGAGGGTTGTAGAGATGCTCCCCTCCCCCCGCGGGTCTCTGCCTTGGGCGAGCCCCAGGGGCACAGGAGCCTGGGCGTGAGATGGCAGGAGGCGGCAGAGACGGATTCTGGGCGGGCTTGAGTCCCGTGGGGTGGGAGTGCCCCAGACATGCCTCCTCTGCAGCATCTGGGGTACCGGGTGCATTCATTTTAGGTGTGTTTAAGGCACTGTATTGAGCTTGCATCTGAGGGCAAAATATTCCCAGTTATCACTTGTGTCCTTGAAGGAAAGTGAAAGAAGGATAGATTTCTTAGGCAAAGGCTATGCAGTTAAGTTTTTTCAAGTAAAAATCCCTTTTATGGGGCTGGCCCCGTGGCCGAGTGGTTAAGTTCGCGCGCTCTGCTGCAGGCGGCCCAGTGTTTCGTTGGTTCGAATCCTGGGCGCGGACATGGTACTGCTCATCAACTGAGGCAGTGTCCCACATGCCACAACTAGAAGGACCCACAACGAAGAATATACAACTATGTACCGGGGGGCTTTGGGGAGAAAGAGGAAAAAAATAAAATCTTAAAAAAAAAAAAAAAAATCCCTTTTATAAAGAGCTTCTTAATAAGCTCCTGGCAGGGCTGCTATCAAAGCATCCTGCCAATAAAGAAGAAAGAGCGAGAAGGTAAACAGCCTGTGTGTTCCACCCTGCCTGTGACTTCCACATGATTGGCTGATTGTTTCTCACGGTTCTCATTAAATTTTTAGCCCCGGGTAAAGTATATAGACATCAGAACCGATTATGAATTCAGAGTCGCAACTGAAATACCTCTGTCTAAATCAGTCTAGTTTTAATGCAAACCAAATCAATTAGCTGTCAGTCTGACTAATATTTACTCTGCCTAGTCATTCTGATTAAATATTGGGCAAAATTAGCTGTTTTACCGAAGTATTTAATGCTATCTTTTCCTGCAGTGCATGAGAACGTTTTCCTACATTAGCAAAGCATTTTTTGCAACACCTTAGCATTTGGGGAGTTGTGTAATTAATATTATTAAGAAAAGGAAAAGATGATTTAGTATTATTCAGAGACAATGGAATGTGGAGTTGCTATTGTATTTGAATGACCAAACTGGAAATGAATGTTATAGGGCTTAGGATAAAGTTTGATCGAATACAGATGGTATTTTATTTTAGTTAGCTCCACTTCATATTGTATAAAAGTGCTTTGATAGTGATGGAATTTACAGTCCACCCCTACCTCACATAAAGCTGATGGAGTGTATATTTGTTAAAACAAACAAAACAAAACAAAACACATGTGGGGAGGGAAGGTTGAAGACTTCTGTAGTCATGTGGGTGCGCACACACATTTAGTAAGTGTCTTGCACTGATCCCGTACCAGAATTGTGAGGTCGTTTTCTTTACAGTCTTAATTACCTTTACTTGATGTTTTTTGCCCGTCTTTGAAAAGGGCCCTTTTGCTTGAAGTGCTTTCTTGATCAGCCCTCCTTGGGAGAACGGCCCGACTGTTCTCAGTGCGCACACTATCAGTCACTGGGTTTTTCCAAGGGCTGTCATTTAAGCAAACTGAAAGCATTTGTTTTTAACTTGTTCTTTTGCCAAAAGTCTGGAGAAGGGTGGATGTTACAGAAGCATCCACCAATAGCTGTAAGGGCTCACAAATTTTTTTTAAATTACTTGTTCTGATTATGTTCCAAGCTGGCTTATAGTTCGCGTTGCTGCCTGCATCTTCCAGCCCTTACATTTTAGTATGATGACTCTGGTTCAGCCCTTCCCTGCCCTTCAGTTCTCAGCCAGATTGATGACGGAAATGGTGGGATAAAGATGTTATTAGCGAGGCCCTCGGAGGCTCCTTCCGGGACGCTGGGAGCCCTCAGTTTGAGACTTCAGTTCAGTGCTTTAAAGCTCAGAAGTTGGAAAATGGTTTCCAGGACCAGAGTCGGCATTCTGGTTTGTAGGTTGGGACTTTGCCCCCAGAGTTTAATCAAAGCTCAGGTTTCTTTCCAGCAGTGATGCAACGTTGAAGCAGATCTTTCCATTAACCACAGATGGAATTTTATCTGACAGTTCTGTGTGCTAGAGCCATTCGAAGTACAAACAAACAAAAAGTTCCTGGCAAATACAAGCACATCGACAGTAAGTGACCAGAGTGATCCCGGGGTTGACGAACTGCACAGTGGGCTGGGGGCAGGGGTGGGCTGCCGCCGGGGGCCCAGTGGATTTGCTCACGTGGGCACAGGAGAAATCTCCAGCTGTCTCTTCACGTTTTGAGCACAACTCTGCAGGGTCTAGTGGAATGGCTACTATGAATTGGTAAAATGTTAGAATTTGAAACTATAGTTTAAAAGATGGCACTTTATTATTTCACTGGTATGCCCGATACTTGCATTTAGATGCCTCCTGGACATCTCAAAGTCAGCATGCCCCAAACCCAACAGACCCTACCTCTGTCTCAGAGAGAAGTGCCGTCTGCATTCCACGGCCACCTCCTGCACAATTCCGCCCTGCCCGTGTCTTATATCCCCACCTGCACCCCTGCCCTAGGCCAAGCTCCTGTCTTCTCTCGCCTGGACCACTGTACTGCCCTCCTCACTGGCCTACTGTGGTCTTTCTTGCCTCACCCAGTCTACTCTCCATCCTCCTGGGAGAGCCTAGGAAATGCATGTGTGATGGTGCCACTGCCCTTGGGATGTCCTACCCAGGCCTCTTTGCTCTGGCCTCCCTGTGGCCCCTGGAGCCTTTAGAGTCCTCCTCGGATGACATTCGCTCTTTCCCCCTGCACAGCCTTTGCATAGCCTGCCTCCCCACACTGTGTCTCCCTAAGACCTCACC